TGTTCACGACTTATTATTGGTGCATAACATAAAAGTGCGAAGTGAAATGGAGAAGAGGTTTGTAGCTTCGGCCTTTGGAATCGATTTGACTCGGATTGTGCATAGGAAAGCTCGAGTGGTTAATTGGTCTCCTTCAGGGCCGAATTCATATATATTGAATTCGGATGGCTCATCTACGGGAGAAGAGGGATATGGATTTGTAATTCGAGGTGAGGGGGGAAGTTTTTTGTACGGTGAGAGCGGTTTTTTGGGTGAAGGGAATAGCTTGCTTACTGAGGCTTTTGGAATTCTTTTTGGATTGCGAAAGTGTGAATCTCTACATCTTCCAAATGTAGTTGTTCAAACTGATAATAAATTGCTTGTGGATGTCATTGTAAAACAAGAGGGATTTCCTTGGAAGTTTTACTTGGTTTTGAGAAGTGTGTTCTATAATAGCTCGTAATGAGTATTCAATTACTCATATTTATAGGGAAGGCAATGCAGTTGCGACCTCTTTTTTATTTAAATATAATAAAAGCGGGAAAGGATGGTGATAGGGAACTGAATAGTATATATGTCCATCCCTTGGGTATACCCCTTGGGTGCATTATACTATCTGACACTGACTAGTTCAATATATACCTCTTGGGTAGACTCCTTGAGTTTTGTTGGGCTAGTTGGAACCTGAATAATATCCTGACCTTTTCATTAAAAAAAATAAAAAAAAAACCCATCGACTCTATGTTTACAAGATGAGAATGATGACATCAAGTACAAAATACAAGTTTAACCTCAAACACAATGTGTGTGCAAATGTACCTCACTCGATTTTTTTAAACAGAAAGAAAGAGATCATACCGAATGATCTAGGATTTGAATGGCACAATACACGAAGAGGATATACCTCTAAAATAAATATTGTAACCATTCTGATCCTAGTCAGCGGATCTCCAATTTTATTCCATTATATTCCAAAAGCAAGGGCACTGTATATAAAAGCAACAGAAGAAAAAAGAAACTCTTTAAAAGCAATGGAAATCTATTACTCCCTCCATTTCATTTTACGTGTCGTTCTACGCTTTTCACACACTTTAAAGAGGTAATAATTGAGGTATCAAAATTACCATATTTACCCCAACCAATTATAATACAACTACAATTACATCTTCTTCATCTACCCCATTTATTACCCCACTAAATTCTTTGTCAATTAGCAGCCCCCTCCTCATCCTTCTCTCTCTTCTGCCTCCTCCCCTCCTCAGTCGCCGTCAGTCCCCCCCAAAAACAAACTCCTTCAAAAATTTTCTTTTTCCTACTCTAAAATTTCCCTATTCCTATTCTAAAGTTATCCCGGTTAACCGTCTCCCTCCCAATCTCCTCTTCTTGAATTCTCTCCCCAAATTTATCAGATATCTCCTTTGGTGAATGGACATCTCTCCTCTCCTTATAATTTTCTTCAACATCACTCTAAATCAACTTGACTTGCATCAAAGCCCACTGTTCAAATATTTTTAGTCAACAATTGAAGTAATAAACTATCAAAAACAAATTTGTTTGAAGGTTTTTCAGCGTCAAGGGGAGAGAGAGTCTAGAAAATTTTTAATTTGAGAAACAAGTATATGATATAATTAATGACCCTTTCTGTGAAGGCGCAAAATTGGAAAATTTTGACAAATTGTGCATTGATATTGGAGACACGACATTTATTTTGGAATATTCCTTTGTTCCTACAACGACACTTAAAATGGAACAGAGGGAGTACATAGAAGAAGTACTCATGATCTCTCATCTCATTAGTTATCTGATTCTCACATATGGCATAGACTACTGATATAGAAAATAAGACCCTTGATGAATTTTGGGAGCTCGTCACAGACCTTATTACATTCAAAGTAACCCGACGATACTTTCCAGGCTAAACTATCTGCCACCACATTGGCTTCTCTGTACACGTGCTCTATTTTGAAACCCCTTCTCTCCATAATGGGTTGAATCTCTACCAATTCAAATTAAAACCTCCATGGATAGGGTCTATCATTTGATAAAATATTCGGAAGCATTTGATTATCTGTTTGTATTTCAATTCGTAACAAATGCAGGATTTCACATTTGCGAACACCAAGCAGGAGTCCATAAACTTCAGCCTTGAAGCTATAAACTCGAAAGATTAAAATTGGCAGGATTGTTTTATTTGAATTAAATAATCTGATGTTGAATAGGATGCTTATTAATAGCTTAGATCTTTTACTGTACTATTTTAATTAAAAAAAAAAAAAAAGAAAAGCAAAAGAAAACCAAAACTCGAAAGACTTGACATTTTTTTCTACTCGCAACTTGGAAGTCGTTCACAGTATTTAATGGACTATCACGAAAATCCTAACGTTTCTCCTGAAAGGAATTTTTTCTATTGAATTTATTATTATTTTTTGAAAGAATGATTGGTTCGCTTGTTTTATTTGTTTCACTTCTGACGACATTAAATCCTTTTTGTTTTTGTTTTTTTTTTCTCTTTAATTTCTTTCTTATAAATCCTACTCCATCTATTTCATAATATTTGTTAAAGTTGTTTATGTAATTTTTTATCTCCATGTTAATAAATACATTTGAAAGTGGAAAAAGAATAAGATAATGTATTGTTTCTTTATTTTGGTCGTTAAAATGGTTGATCATCAGAATCACTCAATTTGTTCTATCTTTTTCTTCTTCTTCTTCTTTTTTTTTTTTTTTTTGGCGAGAGAAAGAAATAATCTTTGATAAGAGCTTCTCTACTAAAATTTGTTGATTTTATTGAAAATGATAAAGAGATGGCAATATATTATATAGTAAATGCAAATGCGGCCTCGTATTGCCGCATTTGCTACAGAAACAGCATCAACTTTTCTGATTTTCCTCAGGATTGTTGCTGTTCACACGTTGCTTTCCGCTTAGAAACCCTAAACCCAATAACAAAACACCACCTGCCTTTTCCTACTTGCATCCCAAGAAAAATGGCCAACAAAAAAAATTTTAAACGCTGCATTGGTGTGGCCATCGTCACACCCCACTCGTGCTTTTAATAATTTCTTCAATGCGCTCAGTTTAATGATTCTGGTCCCCACTCTCGCCTGTTCCGCCGCCGGCATGCCTCCGGCAACGCTTTCCGATTCCGGGACCTAAGACATGCATATTTCGAGGATGACCCACCTAATATATTGTGAAGAATTTTTACTTGATTAGTTGAAGCAGATGTAGCCCCCAGTAAAGAATAATTTGTTTACTTTTATCATTTGCTTCACTTTACTTTATTCTCTTTATAGTGTTTGTGTTTCCCAGTACTATAAATATAGTACATTTTTTTGAAATCACTATATATATATACATTGAAGAGGACTCTCTTAATGGGATTGGATTCTTTTTCAGTTTTTACGCACCACTTCCTTTTCTTATTAGTATATCATTGAGTTGATTCTTTGCTATCCGTAGATGGGTCGTGGCCAGATTAAAATTGTTGTACCAAAGGCAAATAAAGTGTCTAAAATGAATATATTTATTCAAAGAGTGACTATAATGCATGTTTCATTTACAAGCACTTTGTTTCTTTCTCTTTTTATTTGGGGGAGGGAAAGAGCCGGATTATTTGTTGTTGGAGTTTAGAGATTGCCTATTTTATACTTGATGAATTACATGCATTTCACAACAACCGCAATAAATTACTTTACACCTCGAAACATACTATTGTTTGGATCAGTTTAACCACCGTTAATACAATATGCATTATAGAGACTTATTTTTTTGAATGTTGTAACTGTACACTACTGAACAAAATACCTGTTGTAAGGAAGTAACATTGGAAGAATGGAGTCTGTATCCAGTGCACCGAGGGATACCGTGCACCCCAAATCGGAATCAACAAAATTCGGCGGCTCTTCTTCTTCGTCAACAAGTCCAACACCTCAAATCAAAATCAGAATCCACCGGAATCCATGACCTCTTCTTCTTTGGCCTTCTCCTTCAGCACCACCGCTACCAGAATTGACTCCCGCGGCCGCCAGAATCGCAGGTCACCGACCCGCCCTGGCTTCGCCGCCCCGCCGAACATACCGGTTTTTATAAAGTGAGTCCTTTTTTCGTGTTTGTGTGAGGAGTGTGTGTGTGAGGAGTGTGTGTGTGAGGAGGCGGTTGGGATCGATTGGCCGGAATTCTTAGGGTTTAATTGAACGCGGTCAGGGGTGCACCACCGGAATTTGCAGGGGCATCGGAAATGGATGGATAACCAGCAAATTGTATGGACAGGTAGCTACATAGAAGTACATCTAAAAAAAGTATGAATAACCAGTTTACACACTGTGGATAACTAGTATAAAATAGGTGGATAACCACAAACAAAGTTTGGATAACCAGTTTACAACTTGTGATAACCAGTTTACACCTTTTGGAGAACCAATTTACAACTTGTGGATAATTAGTTTATACTTTATGGATAACCAGTATAAAATGAGTGGATAACCAGTATAAAATGAGTGGATAACCAGCATAAAATGAGTGGATAACCAGCAATTATAGCATGGACAACCATCACATAATATTGCTGTTAATTAAAGAAGAAAACTGTGTGTGTGAGGAGAGTGTGTGTGAGGTGGCGGCTGGGATCGTTGGCGACCGGAATTCTTCAATTGGAATTTAATTTGGAGAATTTGCAGGGGGTATACGGTGGACAACCATCACATAATATTGCTGTTAATTAAAGAAGAAAACTGTGTGTGTGAGGAGAGTGTGTGTGAGGTGGCGGCTGGGATCGTTGGCGACCGGAATTCTTCAATTGGAATTTAATTTGGAGAATTTGCAGGGGGTATACGGTGCCCCCGGGTGCACCAGATAATTTGCTGGAAGGATGTATATGTTATTACTTTTTAAAATTATTTTGTAACCATTTCAGCTCAGTCACATGACTCTTTTATTATCTAGTATGCTTGGATTTTTTAATAAATATTATTTCGTATAATTTTCAATCCCATTATATAAGAGTAGACATGTATAAATGAGGTACTGCAAAATTTGAATCCTTTTCATTTCATCTCAATTCTCAACGCAAAAAATTTACATTTCCCGGAAAGCCCCACGCATAAAATGGACAATACGATGGAAGAAGATAAAACAAGAAAAAGAAAAAGAAAAACCTAAAAGAAAGGGCCAAAAATTAAGAAGGGTAAAAGAGCAATTGAGTTTCAACAGGTTAAAGTTGAAGAAACTCTTTTTTTGTCCCACCCTTCTTTCGATCTTTCCTCTCTTACTGTAAAAATGTAAAAGGAAAAAAGACCAAATAACCCCGGGCTAATTAGTTCTGTTCTTGGCCGTCTCCGACCGCCGGCGCCGCCGCTTCTTCGTGAGTTTTATCGTCCTCAACATTTCCGAGAATGTTCTGGTCGGAGACCTCAAATTTGGGCTTCTCTACAATTTCTTCCATTCCTTTCCCGAGATTCTCATTGTTCTTGGAAGAAATGGCCTTGTTCGAAATCGGGGTTGCGAGGAAAGTTGGCTTAATATCACCAGCCATAATCACCACAATCTTCTCCTCGAAAATCGGCATAACTTTCACGGCCGCCGGATTATGGGGTTTCTCATCTCCGGCGGCGCCGCCTTCGCCCTGTTCAATGTCTCTGTTTTCTTCACTTGCGGAGTTAGCGGCGGAAAGTCTCCAGTAAGAGCAAGCGAGGAGCAAAAGGGCGAAAGCGATTAATCCCAGCATGGCGGCGAGGCCGCCGAATAAGTACGGCACCGGAGAGTGCCACGGCGACTTTTGTAACACGGTGGCCGCCGGAGGAGTTGTGACTGGCGGTTCCGATGATAGTGTAGATAGTTTTAAGGAAGAAGTTGATGATGATACTACTGAGGTTTTTAGAGTTCTCATCTCTTTTTCTTGTTTGATTTAAGGTTGATTTCTTTGGGTGTTTGTTGGGAAAGGAGATCTTGTTGATTGGGAAATGGATAGTTTGTTTGTTTGTATGGGTTGTTGATGTTGTTGTTGGTTTGGGGGAATGGTTTGTGAATTTATAAGGGAAGGTTAGAACTAAAAAGAAAGAGTGGGGATAGTGGGTTATCTAAGTTAAGGTGTCATGGTGGTGGGTGAGTTGGAGAACATTCATAAAATATTACTCATAGTGGATGCTAAATTTTATTTTATTTTTTTTGCATTAGAGTGGATGCTAATTTAAATTAATAAAATGGAATATATGGCACTAAGGCAGGCTAAATCTGTTGGAAAGTTGATTGAGATTATGAACACTGAACAGATAAAATGAGATAGTTGATAATGTGCTAGAAGTATAATCTCACTGTTTGTGACTATGTAAATTTTTGTCACTCCAGAAAAAATAAAAAAACAAATATGCAACCTTTTAAAATGACATTGTAGCCTTTGTAGGCTTTTCTTTCTTTAAAGGTTTCCTTATTCGAATTCGAATTAGTTAAGGTAGTGTTTTTTGGAACATCACATATAGTAAGTTAAAAATAATAATAATAATAATAAAAAAAGATTTGGTGATCATTTTAGAAAATTGGTTTAGTGTTTTTTTGTCTTTTTATTATTCTTTTGGAAACCCCTTTCTTATGTCCTTTTTGTTGAACATACATGTTCACTTGAGACCTTGGCCTTTACAATAGGTGCATTTGGTGTTTCTCAAGATAGAGATAAAATATGGAATTCATCAAGTAAAATGTTTTATAAATAAGTTAATTTGGTATAAGACGTAATTCATCTTACAAGGTATATCGATGGTTAGTTTTATATCTTCATTTTTTTCCTGGGACATATTAGAACTAAATGTGTTCTAGCTACAACACAGACGAAAAATAATTCTACAGTCGGTTGTAATCATGTTCATATATATAATCGATTTTGGTTCGATTTTTTTTTCGGATAGATATTTTGTTCGATATTTAATGTATCTAACTAGTTGATAAAAATTCCTTAAAGAGAGAAAAGGAGGAGGTATTTTAGTCCAGTGGGTACAGTAAAAACGCATGAACGGGGTGATTAATCCACTAGGGTTATCTATCAGAAAAGTGACCTGAAGTCCCCAGCCATTATGTCAAGTAAGAATAAAGAATAAATAAAAAAAAAATGTATAAAAGGGACAGCATTTTCTGAATTGATTGGTCATTTAGGACTGTGGCATAGGATTTTCTTTTATGATTTGATTCATTATGTCATATGATGTTAAATAATTGGAGTGCCTGTCATTCTGTGTAAATATTTTGCACCCACTTTATATAGCGAATTTTTTTGGCTTTCACTACGGAAGGATAACACATCTTTGCCCAAACATGTTATACTGTATTGTGCAAAATCACTACAAAATGTTAGGTAATCAGCCATTAACCATGCATATTATCTTGTGCCAAGACATTAAGCATTTTTATATAAAAAATAAATAAAAAATTTGAGCACTGGTTTAAAACTCTTTAACATTTGTAATCCCACTACAATAAATAATTAAATTCATGGAATACTGATTTAAATTCCCCATCCAAACTTTGGGCCAAATTCTCCAACAACATAGTAACTCGAAAATTATAATAGCGAAAAGGCACAATTAAATGCACAACAAGTTTTTTATTCTTATTTAAACATAATTTTTATAACTTCTTACAATTAAAATGTAAATATGATATAGATATTTCAAAGACAAATCCAAGACCAAAAGCTTCCCCCAAGATATGATACTGCTATTCATTTGTGGATTAAAGATTCTCCGGAACTCCTGAAGATATATAATGCTGAGGGAGGATCATGAATGTGATGACGACTTCACATATATAATGGAAATGGAAGAATCACTAAAGAACGAGAAAAATTATATTCTCGTTCTTTAAAGGAATGTAAGATCAAGTTCATTCCAGTTACAATATGCAGTGTTAAATTGAATAAAGACAGTCTCATTTTTTTTTTACATATACTCCCTTTCTCAAAAAAATAAATAATAATAAAAATAAAAAATCAATATTGTGTTTTGATATTTGAATTCAAATTAAAGAGTGGTGATACATATAGAGAAAATTTAATAATGAAATTTACAAGGAATGAAGTGCTTAAATTTTAGCCATTCCGTAACTCTTAAATGGATAAGAGTAGTGATTTATGCATAATAAATTTAAAGAGAATTTTAACAGAAAATGATGTATCATAATCTTAACTATCGCTTGGCTCTTAAATGGATATACATGTAAATGTAAATTTTAGCTATGTACGGTAATGATTCATTTCCTCTGTGTATGTGTATAGAGATATAAAATAATTGTAAATTTTCTTGAAATAGCCATTACTCAATAGACAAACCCCAAAGGAAAAATATCAGTATGGATGGTTATGATTTATTCTATGTTCAAAATTTCTTATAAGATTTTCCTGCACAAACCATTATCCTTAAAATAATACTACCTCCATTTCTTTTTTATTAGAGGCATTGGATGCGAGTTGTTTTAATCCTTTTTTCTATAACAGATTTTACATTTCAAGAAATAATTAAATATTTTTTCATTGTTTATCCTTACTAACTATTTCAGAATTTACTCCAACCAACATAGTAAAAATTCCGAAATTAATACTTTTGAACCCACAAAATTTTATCAATTTATCAGGATTATTATGTTATTGATAAATTAATAATTATTGTACTATCAACAAATTATTAATTTATTAGTTTAAAGGATTTCATTTCTTATAGGAAATAAATGCCCAATTTCTTCATAATTAATTCATAATAATTAGCTCAAAAAAGTGGATTATAATGTGTAAGAATTCTTACACATGTATTATTATTACACTCAACACAATCATAAGTAATGTAATAAAGTGATTATATATTAATTATTTATCCGCCATTATGGATGTTCTTAGTCATGAGATTTCATGGTGGTTCATGTATAAAGCATATTTCGAACACTAGATCTCGGTGAGGAATAAAAGAGTGTAGGTGACAAATTAATATGGATAGATCTAGCTGGGCATAAATTTAACTCTTCAAAAAAGCAAAGCTGCTAGCTGACCTTTTGCAGCCCTCAAAGTACAATTTACTGTGTATTCTCAACTCAATCCGAATGTTACGAATAATTATATAAAATATACAAGTGCACTAAATTAAAGAATGACAACTGAATATTTCCCCCTCACTAAAGATCGATGAATATTGTGCTGATTAAAATACGGGGAATATCAAAAAGTAAATCCCAATACATAGCATCTTCGTGATGTGTATAATCTATTTGCCACAATCCTTCTTCGTTCATTTTTTATTCACGTACTTGAGGCGCAAAAGGCAAATGCAAATTTGGAATATATTTGCCTAGTTGACCTAGTACTATTTCATTGAGGTTATAGTTACTTGAGAAACTGAACATATTCCCTGCATGGCAAGAAAATAACAAGTCAATGCTTCTTCCTTCTAGTATGGAGATGTATATAAAAAAAATAAAAAAAAAATAAAAAAGTCAACTGGATTGATGCAGCAGCCTTCGCTGGGGCAAACTAACGGCGCAGGGCGCAACCCAGTTGAGAGAGTAAGAATCTGTGTGTCATAAAGGCTTAAAATTATTCCTTCCTCAATAGCTTTAGATTCAAATTTCTAACACAATATTCTCTTACTGTTCCTTGAAAAGAAAATATGGTTTTGTTTGATTGAGATTGATATGTCATTTCATATGAGACAACTTGAGATAACAGGCTAACTTCTTTGTTAAAAATAAATGTCGAAAAAATTAATCGTTGATGTAGATCATTAAGATCTCACTTGTGTATTCATACTATTATTATGTTAGTGAAAGGATAAATAGTTTAAGCCAGGGTGTACATCCTTCATCAAGTTCTCAGTTGACGATCCATCCATTTAGGTTAATCTTAAGTACTGTGCACGCTTTGTCTTTTTTTTTTTATTGATTAAATCGGATGATGGCTAGATATCAACCTAAATTTAACTTTAAAAAGTCTTTCATCCTATCCTATTTGAAGAATAAAACTTTTTATTTTCAATCAAATCAACAAAATTAGAACCATTTAACTTAGTAACGATAATTAATAAATTTGGGATAAACTCTTCGATGGTTTATGACTTTTGATGTTAAATACTCTCCCGGTCCTTAATATAAGGTATTTTCACTTGTTATAAGTTTAACCTAATATGTATTTTTAATCGACCAAAAAAATCTTAAAAATATTTCATAACAATTAAGAGAATATAACGAATGTGAAAATATATTTTTAAGGATTTCTTGTCAATTAAAAATGTATATTAGGTAGTCGGGGGAATTAAAAGAGCTTCTCAATATGAGAAGTCCATGCATGGAGCTTGTGTCGGGTGGGAGGAAAGGTGGATCCACTGGATCCCGCCGCCGGTTGACTGGGTGAAGGTGAATTCTGATGGCAGCATTGATCCATCCATAGGAGTTGGCTGTGCGGGTGGAGTTGCTCGGGATTGCCATGGTAGATGGTTGGGGGGTTTTATGATGAAGGTCGGGTTTTGTACCATTACTGGTGAGGAGCTTTGGGGTTTATTCCAAGCCCTAGTACTAGCATGGGATCTTGGTTATAAGAAGGTGAAGGCGGAAGTGGATAGCTCAAGCGTTGTGCGGATGGTGAAGGGTGACGAGGAAGTATTAGGTATTCATTCGAGGATTGTAAGCGGGATTCGGGAAGTTCTACATCGTGATTGGATTGTAGAATTTGACCATGTTTATCGGGAGGCGAATTTCGTGGCCGATTATTTAGCTTCTTTAGCATCTTCGGGCCCGGTTGGTCTGCAAAGATTAGTGTCACCTCCGTTAGGTGCCAGGCCTTGGCTGCAACATGATGTACTAGGGGTAGTATACCCCCGGAATGTAAGAATCTAGGCTTTTGCCTCCTTTTTCGTACAAAAAAAAAAAAAGTATATTAGGTGAAACTTAAGACAAATCAAAATTCTTTACATTAAGGACCGGAAGTAGTACTATAAAAGAAAGATAAATATATGGTTAGAACTTAAGATATCGATGAGAATTAGCATTTTAGGTCATATAATTCTTTCAGAGGAATCAGGATGGTACATATATGAATTTTGTTTTTCTCACTAACCGTAAACTTCCAATACACCACCATTTAATAAGATTCGTTTTCTAAACCCTTTAGTTTTAGAGA